ACAGATTTGAGCTTTAGAGCTACTTTTGAAGCTTTCATACCAGCGATATCTTGCTTTCAGGTGTGTGGTGAGCACCAGATGTCCTGGACTACGCTGGTACTAGAGGCACAGAGGGGAAAGTTCTGCTGATCATCTGATCCGACTCTGTCCATAAGAACCGTCTGATCACACTGATGTGAATGAACATGAGCCTAATAACTCATCCTTCTATCCAGTCTAGTGTGTCATAGCTCAAGAGGCAGCAAATGGGCTGTCTCGTGACACTCTAACGATGACTGATGTGCTCCAGTTTGACAACATCTGCAGTGTTCTGTTGGAGCACACAGACTCCTTCACTGTCAGCATGGCCCAGTGAGTCCAGAACCATCCAAACCTCAGCATCAGGGGAACACCTCCTGGAGCACCTGGAGCATAAAACAAGGCCGCTGCATTGTTCACTGTTTGCTTCACCTCCTTTAAAAAAGGGCTTCGTCTACATGATGTGTATTTTATTTTAGTGGGAGTGAGCACACCTCGGTGCACCTCTCAGTAACGGGACCACCGGTAGATTGAACAATCAATAACAAATACTTTGAAAATTGCTTGAGGATTTTTAAAAATCTGATTGTGAGACTTCACAAAGATGGAAAAGGATGCAGCAACATCTGTGACCAACTAAGAATCAGTGGAAGAGCAGCTGCAGGAGGCATCACGAATCAGAGCTGCACTCGTCGTCCTCCCAGAATCGTGCGATGGACAGTCGGCTTTGTGCACCATCGATCTGTGGAAACCAGACGTGCAGCTGCTTCAGACTGCACACGGTGATGATGGAGATCAGGTCAGACAAGGTTCAGGACAGTTTACAATCTCATTCTTTACCTTTTTTTGCTGTCTGAAACAACTGCATGATGAAACTTTGCTAAAGAACATAAAAGGAAGTGTGAGTCCTGGGAGCCAGTACCGGGCTGCAGTGATGAGCTGAGACTCTCCCAATGATAACCATGGCTGTAGTGGAGGAGCAGTAGCAGCACATCAGCCTGCACGCCTTCTTGCTTCTCTTTCTTTACGGCTGCTGGATTTCTCCTGGCCTGTTACGTTTCTCTGTTTTCTGTCACCATCAGCCTCCTCACCTCAGCTGGATGGAGTTTAATTGGCTTATTTGGGAACAAAGAGTAAAAAAGTGACCGATTGAGTTCAGCTGCTGTCAGTAATACGATCAAGAACAGAACCACTCCACAGCCTGGCTTCTCCTGGGCAGCAGTGTTTAGTGTTAGTGATAAAGATGCACTGTGTGACGCTTTGAGTAGATGAACAGAATGAATGGGCGGCTCGGTTCGCCCTCAGGCTGACTCTGCACTGACGACCCTCCAGCCGCTACAGGCCGGGCTCCGCTGGATCATCGTCCAGGGAAGGACCCATGCATCTGCTCTCCATGTACAGTATTTCTCATCACTTGGGTCTTCCAGGGATCTCCTCCTGACGGTGGGAGGAGTCTGTCGTCCTGCGTTGCTGTGATGGCTTGTGTGAGAGATTGCTGCTGCTGATGGGACTCCCACAGATACATGGCTTATCACAGCATTTACATGCTTTTGGTCCCCGTCTCCGAGGGATTAGAACATCATTACTGCCCTTCATGATTTCATCAAAACCTCACACTGAGCACGGGATCAAAAGGCAGAGAGCACTGCACAGCGACTGGGCAGCAGCTCTGTGCTGTAGCAGGATGTGGTGAACGCTGCGTAAACTCACCAAGTGAACCATGCTAATTGCTCAACCAGCATATGTTCCAGAGATGTGACAAGCCCTCTATAAAGCCTTGCATCAAGCTCCCTCGGCTAAATACAATAGGTTAGCCTACATTTCAGTTCTTTTTGCAGTGTCTCATGTAAAGCATGCAGATGTGCATCACAGCTGGGCTCATGCAGAGCATTAGTCGGCGAGCTGGGAGGTGGAAGGTTTCTTGTTAATGTGGATGCTGGTGGTTTCCTGGTGACCAGTTATTGGCTAATATTAATCTCACCATTTCTCTCTGTCTTGTAGATGAAGGTTGTCTCTTAGCGCTGGGTGGATTTGTCACAGTTCTTTTGTGTGTATCAGGCGTTTTCAGTGGATTTGAAAGGCGACGGCCATCATTCATGTTGACATTTCGTTTGGAGAACTTGTTGGGCTTTTGAGGGCTCAGATGAATAACTGGACTGACTTCTATGGACTGAACTGGATATCTATGGTCCCTGTGGGATGATTCCTTATTCCTTTAATCATCAAGTCTGTTGGTGTGGAGTTGAAAAGATCTGTGTTTTCTATCTGCTGTCCATCTCCACTGAAGGCTTCACCTGGAGAAGCCATTTTAATGACAGAGCTCGTCTCCCTGTTCAACGACATCATCGCCATTTATCCTTATGCCTGAGCTGCACCTGCCGAGCTCCACCCAAGATAACTGGCTTTAGGACATACAAACCAGTCAGAGAGTTTTTTTCTCACCACAGTGAGGTGCAGCCAGTCCAGTATGTTCTGAAGAATGAGACCAAACTGCTAACTGATCCAAGAATGAGCAAAGAGGTAAAGTGTGTGTGAACTGCCCCGGCTGAGGCTGACCGTGCATAAGTTAAATCCTCGCTGTGTGATCAGTGGAGACACTTACTATACAGATTAAACCTTATTTGATCTTACTTCTGCTGTAAAGTTGGACCTTTCCGTGTCCACGGGGACCGGGCCTCATGTGGCGATCTGAGGAAACGCTGTGGCTTTATTCTTCAGTGCAGGAGGTTGCTGTTCGCTGTAGAACCGCTGTAGAGGACAAAACACTGCACTTCAACACAGGAGGCCACTGTTGGTTCCCTTGCAAATCGATTTCAGCGTTGTTTCTTTGAACCGTGACGACCCCATAGCCTGAGGTTATTATTATCATTATCACATGGATGAAGGCAGCGCTCACATCATACCTGAGTTCATGACAGGGATCTTCAACACTCCTGTCAGACCAGAGGGTCGTGGAGAAAATCCCCGACATGTTTGTTTCTGCTGGAGGCTTGTATTATTGTTCAGTTTGGGCATTTCTGTCACTTTTGCAGCCTCTAGTGGTCCCTCACAGAGCTGTGGTTCCACCAGGTGGACAGTGCTGTGGACTGTCATGCAGTCTCCGTGAGGCCAGTACTTTCTACTGCTGATATTTAGAAATCAAATGTTTTTAAAAGAGACTCTTGACCAAAGTGAAGCTCGGTCAGGCCTCTCTGTTTAGTCAGTCTCAGCCCAATCAGACCAATCAGAGGGTTTATCTGTGCTTCACTGATGTCACTCTTGTTCACTACATTCATGTAGAGCTCCTCCATTTCCTCTGATGGAGAGTGATAGGACAGAAACACGAGGCTCCATAAGGCTGGAAGGCAGAGTCAGACGACTGCTGTGGACCGACCGGATGACGCTGAAAGGCCAAGTGTAGATGGGAAAGAGTGCCAGAAGTGCTCTGACCTCTCCAACTGCAGGAAACCAGGAAAGCATTGATTTAAGTGCTTTTGAAAATGAGTGTTGAGATGAAGCTGAAACGTGCTCCTTTGTAGAAGTGATGAAGTAACACTCAGCTCTTCCTCTGAATGTGTTAAACTGCAGCCAGATGACAGTGCTGGAGCTCGTGGTGTGTTTCAGGATGCAGTAAAGACGCTCAGTGAGGCAGAGAGGAGGGACAGGAGGACGGTGGAGGAGGGGAGCTGGTGCTGAGTGGACCGAGTGGGGGCTGTGGATTTGTTTGTTATATTGCCTAATCCAGGCAGCACAGCATCACACAGCAACACCATCTGTTACTGTTCACAGTCAGCTGCCCGGACCGGACTGCTGGGTACTGACGGTACCGGCTATCAGAGGCGGGTCCTGTGGGGAGGGTCGGACGCCTCCTGCAGCCTGTTGTCTGCACACAGCGTGTGTGGAGGGGGTCTTTCTGATTTGCGGAGCAGCATCAGCAGCACTCCGGCGGCGCGGTGAGGAGAGGGAGGATGCAGAGGAGGGAGCGGCACCGACAGACACCGTGATGCGCTGACACATGGCCGCCTGCACCGCCTGCACCGCCCGCTCGCTCTGACTGCGGCTCCATTCACCGGGACGCACCGGGAGAGGCTGGACCGGGCAGCCACCGAGCAGGACCGAGCCCGTCCAGACACGCTGTGAGCAGAGCCGGGACCGGAGACTGCTGATCGGAGCGCCTGGTCATCCTCAGCCCTGGTAAGCCCGGTGCTGGCTCCACCTGGGTCACCTGCAGCCTGCACGGTGGCAGCTCTGTCAGAGGAGGAGTCTGGACCTATTGTTCTCACTTTGCCTTCACATTTGGTTCCGACCCAGAAACAAAGCGCTGCTGAAAAACTGCGTTTTTAAGTAAAACGATGAGAAGAAGTTAATGAGGATGATGAGTGAACAGCTGACGGGCCTGTTGGAGCTCAGCTGACTCAAGGTGACATTCATTAACCAAACTTTATTTTACTCATTAACTGAACGCCTCATTAACAGCAGGAACCTGGTTGTCATTTATTCTGAACTGAAGTTTCTCCAAACTAACTAAACGCTGTTAGCTATTTGTCATTAAAAACAGTTTTAAATCCAAATGTGTAGCTCTCACTGTGTTTAATGATTAAAATGAAACAGGCTCATAGCAGCAGCTGGACCAACATGACTGATGAGGTCTTTGTGGTTTTGGCCTCATGTCATGAGTATTAAAAGGAAACAACCAAGACTGAACCTCAGTGTGCACTTTCAGAACCAAACACCTGCCATGAGGCCCTATAGAGCTGAATGGACCCAGTCTGGTGCTGCTCCAACCAATCAGCTCTCTCTGTTTGAGTCCTTCTGTTTCCGTGTAACGTGGATAAACAAACAGATTGTTCTTAAATATTGGTCAAAAAACCTCTTTTCATTTCCAACCATTCGTAACACTTCGCTGTTTACTAAACTATGACTGTTTCCAGAACGCGATCGCTTATTTCCAGCCTGTGGCCTGCAGCGAGCCTGCGGACTGTCCCTGCCGGGCCGCCGTAGCGATGGGAGATAACATGTCCAAGCGGCTGAAGCTCATCTCGGCTACAGAGGCGGAGATGGAGGAGCGCTCCTTCCCGAACCCCTACCCGGACTGGGACCAGGGACAGCTCACCGCCACCTCCGGAGAAGACGGAGGCTTCAACGAGCCGTTCGATGCAGAAGGAAAGGTGAGACTCCCGGCTTCCGTAGTTTTTACTGTTATTACGTCCTGGCATGCTAACAGGAGCTAGCCGAGGCTAACCAGGAACTGCCTGGTGGAAGTAGTTAGTGCTGCAGACACACTGCTAGTTGGTTAATGTGGAGGCTAGTTAGTGCTGCATACACACTGCTAGTTGGTTAATGTGGAGGTTAGTTAGTGCTGCAGA